TAATATACATATGTGTTATTGAATTATTAAGAGGAGTGTTAACTTGTATTCTTCTTATGTTTGTGGAATCCATATTTTAAGTCTTTTATTCATATTTTTGATTTAAAATTAATATTTTATCATTTAATTATTAAACAATTATTTTTGAATGGTAAATAAATTGTTTTGCAGCATTAAATGAATTCAATATTTTGACTATCAAATTCCACATTAATCTAGGCGATACATCTAATAAAACTAAATGAGCTCAATAATATCCAAAATTTAAGATTCTGATTAAGAAGAACTTGATTTATTTAGAAAAGATGAATTTTTGTAAATTTTTATTATGATTATATGCATGGGCCATTTCTAGTTTTAGATGTATCTGTTGATAGAAGAAGGAGGTTCAAAAAGTTAACTCATAAACCAAGCATTCGAAATATAAAATAACAATTGCATTATTCATTAACAAAATTTTGGTGTTCAAATGATTTCTCAATTCCTCAATAAGCTTGAGCTATTTGAATACAGATTTAACTTTAAAATATTCATATTGAGTTTATACAATAAAACCTTAATGCAGTATAATCATGTTAACTTGATAATTTAAAGGAACTTTTACAATAAATATAGTTAACATTTCAATTAACTAAGAAAGTATAAGTTATAATTAGGTTTATAAATTGACAAAAAATATTTGTTTTAAGTCCAAAAGTATGCCATATCGAATACAATCTTTCAAGTAAACTACAAAATTAGCAATTTAATCATATTGTTTAAATTTAGTTTCTTCATATATTATGAAAATATTTATACTTGGATATAGAAAGGTAAAATAAAAAGTTGGTAGTTTAAGGATAAGAAAGAGAAATATAGATAATAAAATGAATAAAAGGAGAATATTAATGTTTTGGGATGTATTGGAGATTCGAATTTCTGTGCTTCTAAATTGTTTTTGGGGCTGTGAATAGGAATATTTTTGCATAATTGATAAATATAACAATTATTCATGCATAAATGCGTCAAAATGATACGCTTATCATTATTATGGATAATTGCTCTATTCATAATCCAAAAATTATAACACAGTAAATTTTAAAACAAATAAATATTGAGTTTTTCCTTTTGAATCCTACAGAATTATTATGGGCAATATTTAAGAAAAATATAATTAAGGATGAACCTAGAACTCATGGTGCCTTAATTAATTTAATACCTAAGAATTTATTAATCAAAAGCCATTTGTTTGATAAAAAATGATAAATATGCAATATTAAATAGCTTATCACTTTTTAGAGGAAGGTATAAATGGACATTAGTGATTAAATATTATAATTTATCCAAATAAATCATTTTTATTTGCGATGGGACAATACCAAATATAAAATTGGATTATGAAATGATTTTTTTTTAATAAGATGCGAAAAAAAATTACATTTACTCAATTCACGCCTTACACATGAAATTCTGTGATTAAATGTTATTATGAAATACACAATGTTTGTTTTCTTTCAATAGAATACATTTGAGTTCCAAATTAGTTTCTAATTTAAAAATCAATTAATTTTTGTGCTTTTTTGTTCATAATGTAACAACCGTTAATAAAACAATAAAGTAAATATAGTATTAATAATTATGGTTAAGAAACCTTGCTTGCACATTAGTATACTAATGCTTTACAGATATTCTCGAACATCCAATACAAGAATTTGAACATAAGTAAAAGATAAAGTTGAAATATAATCTCAAATTGAATGTAATATTGAATTATTTTATTTAATGAGAAATGCTTAAAATAAAAGGTAGATTCAGATTGAATAGAAAGCTGGTATGTAAAAGAAAACTCATTTTACATTTGTCTAAAATATTAAACATTCTGTAAAATATTGCAAACCCTTTGGTACTCAATAAAGGCCATTGCTGGTGATTCAATCTAAATCCTCATAAATATATTATAAAAAAATCATTTTTCTGTTCACTTTTACTTTATATAATTTAATTCAATTGTTATGAGTTCTATTTAAATTCAAGTAATTTGATTCATGAGTCTAATCATCCAAATAGTTAGTATATATATTCTAAATTTTTTCTTGATTATACTACTTTGGTCATCCATATAAATCAATAAAATGTTGGTAGTTAAAAGGTCAAAGTAAAACCTTGAAATATTTCAAAAGGGATAAAAGAATAAGTGTATTTGGAGGAATTGATCTTAAGGATTGGTAACCTACTAAATAATAATTGAATTCTCATCTTTATTTGTTTCATCTATAATAAATCATAAAATAATCTGAAAAATTTAAAAAAGAATATGAAATTGTAATAGTGTTAGAAAATAGTCCAATACATTAGAGCAAATTCAACAAATAAACTTTTTAAATAGTTTTACTCCCTTATTTTTCCAGATATATAGTTGGTAGTTAAGTGAAAAGAATGGCTAATAATAATCTATTACATATTTATATTATGAAATTCATAATTTCTTTTATTCTTAGACTAAAGAAACTTTTGAAAGATAAATAGATGGACTAATTCCGTTATTTATAAAAGACATTTTATAGGTTAAATTGTGAATTATTGAAATATTCATGTATCTATCGATTAGACAAATATTATACGTTTACAAATACAGATATCATATTTGTAATGAATCATATCTAAATTATGAAGAACTTCAGAATTTGCATGTGTATTTGTTTGTATAAAATTCAATTGAAAATTGAACATATATATTTTGATAAACTCTCAACAAATTGCAATTAAAAATCCAAACTACAATTCTTTATATCAAATCGAGAAGCAGAAATTATTCAAATAGCAGAACCGATCGCAATAACTTTCTCCTCAAAGAATATCTTTAATAGATTTGAAATCAATTTTACAAATAATGAATGTCATTAGTCACTATCTGTAATTTTGTGGATGTCAATACAAAATTTAGTGGGGGGTAGGAAAAGTTGAATAAAAGTCTAATTTACCTTAAATGAATTCTACAAAATTTGAAAACGAAATATATTATTTAATATATGTAACATTTATATCCAAACATAAGGCTTTAATAATACTTATCTTTAACTTATTAATCTGTTTTATATTGGCTTATGACCTAATAGGCTAAATAAATGATGATAGCACTTTTAATGAAGAAATGGAAACTCGATAATGTAGTCTAAAACAGATGAGTTTCTGATATTTCTTAAAAATAGATTGTAGTTATAACCTTATTCAAAATTATGCTAGTGGCCACGTTAAATAGTTCTAACTTGAATTAAAGAAGAATAAAGGACAAAGAAAAGAATGTATAATTTAGTATAACAAAATGAAAGCTTATATGCTTAATCAAGAAGCAGAAAGTTAAACAGAAAATTTTCAGAATTATTTTAATTATATAAGATGTCATGAAGAAAGAAAGAAATAACTCATCTATCAAAAAGAAAAAGGATATCATTAATTAAAAAACTATGTAAATTATTTT